CATTCCTTCAAAAATCTTAAGAGATTGAAGTTCTATCACTCTTATAAGTTACTCTAAATTAATATTTAATTTCAATACCTCCTTTATAGATATATTTTTTAATTTTAAAGATTGTAATATATATTTATAATTTTTTTTAAATTTATAAATAAAAATTATATTTTAATAGAATAGGAAAAAAAATAGAGAGTTCGTTAATAAAATAAAGAAATGATAGGGAATTTATTGGATAAAGTAGACGAAAAAATGATTCCTAAAATAAAAAATAATTTTTTTAATAATATTTTAAAGTAAAATATGAGTAAGCTAGTAAAGATGCTCTAACAAATAAATTAAAGTTTAGATTCTGCTTAGGTTAGTCATGTGCTTGGTTCGGCCCTTCAAAAATTCAAGTAAACATCATTTTTAAGGGCCGCGGGGGGTAATGTTAACACCATAAATCTGCAATTTTTATTATTATTTATTATTTATATAATTGCAGGACACGTGGCATCCTCTTATTCATTTGAAAGTTAAAAGAAGTTATAGAGATAATGGAGAATATGAAGGACAAAGTGGATGAGTGGGAGGACAAAGTGGATGAGTGGAAGGACACATAGCAAGACAAGAATGAAGAAGGAAGAAATGGGTAGTTACCAAATAGTTATTGCTGTATTTTTTCTTTTATAAATAGCCATTAATGGCTACTTTCTAAAGGGCCAAAACTTAAATCAAAGACATTCGATTTCAATATTTCTTGTCATTTTCCTTATCTTAGGAGTAGTTTAACATAGATTTATATTTCGAAGCATTTATTTTCAGCATTTCATTTTCGATGCATTTTATGCACTTCCTTTTCGAAGCATAGGAGTAGAGGTAAGTAATTATTACTTTGATTGTTCAGTCAATCGTCCTTCTCCGTCCCTCATTCTTCTTTTAATTTTTCTTTTCTCTACACTTTGGCAATTTTGAAGCCCTTTTTGTTGAGGCAAAAGAACCGTTAATGCAATCGCTTGATAATTGACTTGAATTTAATCTGTAAGGATTTTTCAATCCTTGCTGGCACGCTCGCATTTATGATATTTTCCTTTGTAGGAAAAATAAGCCAACAAATGGGTACATAAATGTTGTAGAGTTGCTTAGCTAGGATTTTCTTACACTGATTCAAAACGATGTGATTCTAATTAAGGTAAAAAAACAAACAAATAAACAAAGAAGCAATCATACAAAAGAAACATACACGGGAGCCCACCCCAATGGACAGTTCTTTTTTGTGCTAAACATTGATACAGCTGATGTTTCATAATCAAGGGTTTTCTTAATATGAAATTAATGAGTACATAAATGTGATGGAGTTGATTCTCTAAGATTTTCCTACAGTGATTCAAAACCACGTGGATCTAATTAAGGTAAAAAAAACAAACAAAGAAAGAGGCCCTTGCCCTTCTCTTCATTGTACACATAAATATTCGTTTGGTAGAGATTTGCAAGACAATCAGAGAAATTTTTTCCCTTTTACCATAACATTTATTGATTTAATTTTAATTTTAATTTTAATTTTTTTACAAGCTAAAAGATGAAAAGATGATTTGAGCACAAAGTTCACCCTCTTTTTCCTGCCATTTAAACCAGGGTTGCTTGAAAACCAAGTGATAATATGGGGATCTGTGAATTTTTTTTATAGGTAATTTTGTATTTTCAGTGTAAAAAAAATTGTGTGAAAAGTCATAATATTTTATTGAACAACTTTTTATTTTTAAAATAAAAAATTTGTGATTTGAGTCTTATTATAGGTGTCCTTAGAACACAAAATATATATATTTAAAAAAAAAAACAAGACATTTTTTATTAAATTTAATATAATTTTAATATACCTTTGTGTTTATTTACTATTTGTTGGTAATATCATATGTCAATGATGATGTGGTATTACTATTATACTGAATTTTTACTGAAATTTTGTATAAAAAATTACTTTATCATTACATACCCAATTTCTCAAACACAAAACTTAAAATGACATACCAAAATAGTCAAATAACTAAAAAAAAAAATTTCTCAAACCAGGCCATCTCACCCAAGCTGAGTTTTGTTGTTCCAATTGATTGGTTATGATGATACTTTTTTTTATGAATAAAAATACCGGAATGTTCATTACCAATTTATACTATTTTCGTTTTTCTAAATTATACAATTGATGGGAGCTGGGTATGGGTGGATGAAAGAGAGAAAGTAAATTCTTGAAAGCAATCCATGTCTCTTTTTTTTTTTTTTTTTTTTTAAAACTGAGCATTAAAACTAAAGAATAATGTTTGGGATCCCCTTTTGGGGGGTCACCCCCTCACCCCCTTTTGTCACGTGGCGGGTGGTGATTGGAGGAGTAGGAAAAAAAAAAAAAATGTAACCAATGAGAGAGAGAGGGGGTCAAAGGGGGTGGGGGAAAAAGGGGGAATGAATCATTGTTGAAAACTAAAATAGGTGAATAGGAACAGAACTGTAGTTGTAATTTCCAAAATTGAGCATTAGGTCGTCTTCATATAATTCATCAAAAACATATACATGGCAGTCCCACCATTGATGGGCACTTGACGTTTTGTAATCATATCGTAATGTATTTATGTGTGTATATAGCTATGAGTATATATAAAAAAAAACATCATAAATATATAGTGTTAATATATTTATATATTTATCCTTAGCTTAGGCTTCGTTTGGAAAGAAGGGTTGGGTTGGGTTTGTGACTATTTTAGCAATAAAATGATGAAATAGGTTTTTTAGCCCAATAAAACAAAACATTACATCCAATCCATAATCATTACATTATTTCTCTCACAAAAAATAAAAAAAATAAAAAAGTCCTTCCCAAATAAGATTTTTTTTAACTCCAGACTAAAATAGTCAAAAAGTCAAAAAATTACTTCCCAAATAAACCTTTAATTAGCCTCCGTTTGGGAAGTGGGTTGGCTTTTTGGCTTTTTGGCTTTTTGGCTATTTTAGCCTGGGCTATTTTAGCCTGGTTTGGGAAGGGCTTTTTGGCTTTTTGACTTTTTTGGCTTTTTTTGTGAGAGAGGATTGTAATGATTAGGGGTTGGATTTGATGTTTTGTTTTTTGTGGCTAAAATAGCCTATTTTGTTTTTTGTGGCTATTTTAGCCCCAAACTCACCCAAACCTTCTTGCCAAACATAGGCAGTCACCAGTGGCGGCAGCATAGAGGTCCAGGAGGGTCATGTGCCCCTCCTTGGGTTTTGAAATATTTTTATTTTTATTTTTTGGCAAACATAAAGAAAATATTTAAAATAAAAAAATTATAAAATATTATATAGCGTGAAATGACAATAACATTTTTAAAATTATGAGAATAATAATGGTTGTTTTTTTATTGAAAATAAAAATATTATGATAAATCATATTATATATCTATGAAAATTTCAATACAACGGTGAAATATGTCATTATTGACATACAAATATAATTAATCTCATTGAATATATGAAATTTATTAAATTGTTAGTTACATTTAACATGTCGAGTTTATCATTTATATGTTTCTTTATTATTGGTTGGTGATATTATGTATCAATAATAACTTGGTACTACTATTGTATTGAATTTTTATTGAAATTTTGTATAAAAAATTGCTTTATCATTATACCCAATTTCTCAAACACAAAAATTAAAATAACCTACTAAATAGCCAAATAACTACAAAATTTAAAAAAAAAAGAAAAAAGAAAAATTAGCTACTTCTGAAACCAGGCCATATTGAAAGGTCACCCAAGCTGAGTTTTGTTGTTCCACTAAATTGGTTATGACGATACTTTTTTATGAATAAAAAGACTGGCATGTTCATGACCAATTTATACTATTTTTGCTTTTTTAAATTATACAATTTATGTGAGCTGGATATGGGTGGACGAAAGAGAGAGAGAGAGAGCAAATTCTTGAAAGCAATTGATGTCCCTTTTTTTTTGGAAAATAAAACTGAAGTAGGTGAATAGGAACATAATTGTTGCTGCAATTTCCAAAATTGAGCATCAGGTCGTCTTCATATAATTCATCAAAGACATATACATGGCAGCCTGCCATTGATGGGCACTTGACATCTTCATATAATTCATCAAAGACATATACATGGCAGCCTGCCATTGACGGGCACTTGACATTTTGTAATCATACGGTGATGATTTGTGGATTCAACAAGCACATAAATGTATTTATGTGTATATATAGCTATGTGTATATATTAAAAAACAAGCATCATAAATATGTAGTGTTAATATATTTATGTATTTTTGCTTAACTTAGGCTTAGGCCTCGTTTGGGAACCCTCCATTTTAGCCAAAAAGTCAAAAAGTTACTAAATTAGCCAAAAAGCCAACAACCCATACCAAAAAGTCAAAGATTCTCTTTTCTTTCTACTTTTTGCACATCTTTTCGTAAAAAGCCCAAAAGTCATCTCAAACATACTAGTTTTTTTTAGCTCATATTTTAGCCAAATAGCCAAAAAGCTACTAAATTAGCCTGTTCCCAAACGAGGCCTTAGTTTGGAAAAAAGGAGTTGGGTTGAGTTTGGGGCTATTTTACCCATAAAAAGATAAAATAGGTTTTTTATTCTAACAAAACAAAACATCACATTCAATTATAATTATTACATTCTTTTTCACAAAAAGCCAAAAAAGTCCTTCTTAAACGAGATTTTTTTAGCCCCGGACATAAATAGTCAAAAAGTCAAAAAATTACTTCCCAAATAAAACACCTATTTAAAATACATTGGAGCATGAATTGCCATCATGAATGAGTAGGCAAATGAAAACACCTATTTAATCAGTTGCTCTCATTTGCAGTAATTGCAAATTCGGTCATGCCTATCTTTCGAACAAACTGTTGTTACTTTGGACTACATGTCCACTATTAACGCCCTCAACACCAATTTAGCCAGCATGCTGGTTCTTCTCATGTTATTTATTTCCGAATTGTTAGTAATTGTCTAGATATTTTTCATTTTAATATTCATACATGTAAACTTGGATGATTGATTTTCAGGTTGAGACTACTGATCCTTTGGTTGGGAAAGCCTGCCAGACGCGAAACAAACACAATGCCACATTGGGCTGGTTCATGCTGGTAATCTATTGTTTCAAATTTTAAAATTTATTTATTTTTACTGTATTAGTGCCGATGGTGCAATGGTATGAGAATTCTTTGTTTGTTATGAGGGCTGCATTTTTTACCAGAATTTTATTTTTTCTGATAAACATTGAAGTACTTTAAGTTCAGGGAAGATGAATAGAAAGGAAAACCTGAGAGTGAAGCATGGAGATGCTCGAAGGGACATAGGGCATAGAAGGGTGGTTTGTTGAAGAAAACAAAAAGTAAAGAGCAAATAAGAAAGAAATGTCTTCTGTTCTGTCATATATTTTCCGCTTGTGTGGCCCTGCACAAAAACAGCATGCTTTGGTTGAATGGGTGAGTGGATACTGGACTCGTCAAAAGAGAGAGAGAAGAGTGAGTGGACTAGTCAGAAGTGGAAAAGAAAAATTTAGTAACGTGACATGTTTGTTATATGCTATTTGTATGATCTAAACTATAGTTATGTGTGGCCATTCCATTTTAAACAACTTTCGCTCATTTTATGGTGTCACTTCTATGTTTTCACTAATGCATTTATGTCTTATTTTATATTTTTTCATAACATCGCTAAGATACTCATTTTAGTCACACTTCTGCTCATGTCCAGGTACTATTTGAGATTTATGGACCCTAAAAATTCGGAAGCATTGGTTGATAAGATGAAAGAAATGTAAGTGCCACTTTTGCTCACAAATCTCCATAGTTTGACACTACATTGGTCTCTTACTGGTGATCTGTTTTATGTATATGTCATTTGCTACTAAGAGATGATTATATGCTATGCAGAGTTCTATTAGCATCTTTCATGTGCAGGTAGTGGAGCCCTGCTGATGTGTATGTTGGCGGTGCTGAACATGCTGTTCTTCACTTACTTTATTCCAGGTTCTGGCACAAGGTTTATGCTCCCAATTGTATTCACTACAAGAAAATTGGCATACCATAGCGTTTATACAACTTCGTTTTAAAAAAATGCCATTTTTTTAGTGGTTTCCGTGTTTTACTTAAAAAAAGAAAAAAGAAAAAGAAGTCACGTAACAGATCTCACTCTCTCACACTCATATCTCCGTCATGGTCCGTCTCTCTCATTCTTACACTCATATCTCATTCTCACAGATCTCACTCCCTTTTATTGATCTCACTCTTTCACACACTTGTTGGCTACATATTTTGTGCAAGCCAGTGACAATTCGACGCGTGGCAAAGCAAGGGTAATATGGGGAAACCAGTCAAGTCTCCGATCCTGATTATACACGTGGCAGTTAATATTGGTTGTTATAAGATCTGAGTAGCAGTGGATCAACAACGAGATGCAAAGTGACGTGACTTCAACGGTTACTCACATTCAAATTCAAATATAGGAGGGAAGCCTAACTGCAAGTGAAAGCGTAGTGGAACTATTCATAAGGCAGCATGATCAGCGATCACAGAGGAGCAGTTCGACGGTTTGAAGTGCAGTTCGATGGTTATCTTTGGGGAGTATAAATAGCAGGGAAGACCCCAGGAAAGAGGGGAGGCTCAGATCTAAAAAATCAGTCTTACTTTACATATTTCATTCCAGTTTTTATATTTTCTGTTCTTTACATTTCTGTACTTTAAATTCCTGCACTACACTTCATTCATAGGAGTAGTTTCAAGTATATTGTTGTTGTAAATCTCTACGAGGCTGAGTTTGGATCATTGTAAGTTTTTCATACTAATGAAATGCTTCAATTGTTCTTTATTTAACTAACCTTATGCTTAAATTCTCCTAAATCAAGCCACCAGTAAAAGTCCTCTTCATTGAGGCTGAAAGAACTATAACACAATCGTCTGAATAATTGGTTGGCAATTAAAATTCTGTAAGGGCTGATTGATCCTTGCTGGCACGCTCATAATTACAAAAATAACTTTCGAAAGCCAAAAAGCCAATATATATTTTTGGCACGCCCAGTGGGACGCATTTAAAATGGCTAGATGTAGGAGACAAGGAGAAAATGAACGCTTGGAAGAAGGCGTGGAAGGAGAGGTAGAGATACCTAATCCAGAGGATAATGTGATAACACATCCTGTGGAGACTCCTATCTTATCGGAACCTATGGTCGAACAGACCAGTACTTCAGAGCAAATACCATTTGTTCGTAATATTGGACAAGACCAAGGAATTGGACCATCCAATGTCCCATCTACTCAGCCAGTAAATCCGTGGGGTGGCCTAGTAGATGCCATGGGACAGCAACTAATAAACACAATGGAAAGGTGGGCAACATCCTTTTTGGATCAAATGAATAACCATCAACCAACAAATGTAAGACACATGGAGGAAGTAAATGTCCCTCAACAAAGATTGGCTAGAGATAAACAGCCTATGCAAGTTAATGGACATTCTAATGGTCAAACCAATAATCAGATTCATGAAAGATTACCACCTCAGTCTTGGTACGAACCCATTTCGAGGCCTATAACAGGTCAAAATGCCTCAGTACTCAACAATGAAGCCATACAAGTTGGTGGCTCTGGGCCAACACAAGAAAATGGCATAAGGATGCTCCCAAATCCCATGTTTGAAGCCATACCTGGTACAAGGGGGTTCACTAATCCTTTGTTCAAATTTGTACCCGGGGGGTTGGAAGGGTTTCCTGCGACTGGAAGAGACACAACACCTGTTCCAGCACCTTTCGCAGGTCCCTTCGCAGGACAGGCTCAAAGAGTTACCTACACCCCCACAAGCAACCTTACACCAGGGACAACCAGTCCCAAATGTACACCCTATGGGACCCAAGAGAACCACAAGCACAAGTTTGTCCACCATCCTGTGTTTTCCCTAGTAGTGGTTAGCAGAACACAAATATGGTCATACTAACCAGATATTGCTGATAGTAGGTGGCGCTTTCACCAATGCTCCGGGGGTCTAAACTCCTGGTACAGATACACAACATACCCCAGAATGGGTCGACAGGGTACATGAATACCCAAGGGGTTTCAGGATACCAGATTTGTCATTTTTATTGGGAACGGAAACCAATCAACAGTGAGACATATTGCTAGAGTTGCTGCTCAATGTGGTGAATTTATCCAATCATGACTATATGAAGTTGAGACTATTCCCAATTCTCTACATGGGGGAGCTATGGATGGTACATAACCTTCCACTTTGCTCCATCCAGACTTGGCCAGCAAATGGAAGAGGCATTTCATGCCCAATCTTCAATCAGAGCTAGAAGTTTCCATGGCAGACTTGGCAGATTGAGTCAAAGGCCTGAAGAGAAGGCTACTCAGTTTATTGCCAGATTTAAGAGGGCTCGAAATGAATTAGAGTATCTTTGCCAGAGCCAGGAATTTGTAAGATTGGCCCAAAACTGGACTGTGATAGGTTCAGCGCTTCGAAAAGTTTAGAGTGTTCATCACAGAGTTCAGGATTATAGTCGAATACTGACTTACAAAGTATCTAGATGATCATTACGTTAGAAGGGAACAGATATTACGCACTCGAATCGCATCATCTCGAAGATCTCACCACCACAGATCTCTAACTATGAGATTGATGCAGCAGAGATTGTGGGAAAAGAGCCTATGATCTGTGAAGCATTAATTCATAAAGATACGACAATTGACCAGCAGTTTAAAAAGAAAGATCTCCACAGGAAGTATTCTTTCGATTTAACTAAGGCAGATGACATTTTTGATCATTTGCTTGCGGCCAACTTCCTTAAGTTACCAAAAGGGGTTAAAATTCCATCTCTTGATGAACTTAAAGGAAAAGTATATTGTAAATGGCATAATTCTTGGTCTCACTCGACTAAAAACTGTGTTGTTTTTCGAGACAGGATCCAAGAACAAATTCGGAAAGGGAGTTTGAAATTCCCAGCCAAAGCTGAAAAGGCCATGGGGATTGACAGCAATCCATTTCTAGAAATTGGAAAGGTAGCAGCCAATGTCATTATGTTAGATTTTCAGAACCTGTCTTTGAAAGAATTGAAAGAAGTCAATGTACAGATGCATGTGGCCAACCAGACAACAATCAAGAAAGACACTAGAAATCTACCAGCTATTGGACAAGATTTCTCACATCAGAGGGAAGACTCTGATAGAGAAGCACTGGATGATGACTCCCTAGAGGTAGCCGTAATGTAGAGGATGTGTCCCAGGTGCAGACTGAGTTATAAGTGGTTGAAAGGCCTTCCAGTTGATGGGAAACAATATTACAGTGATGTACAGAGGCGTCCCAAACCAACCAATGCTTATAATAAAAGGCCGTATCCGGCTAATGTTAGGCAGCAACCATTAGTGGTTGAGCCTGCAGTTGATAGAATGCATGCTAAAGGTAAGAGGCCCTTATATGAGTTCAGGTCACCTAACTATTATAGAGTGGAGAGTAGTCATTCTGAAAGAAGATTGGAGAAGAGTTCAGGTTTTAGGATCAAAGCCAGAGATTGGCCCCTTGGACTAGCTTCACGGAGGATAGAAAATGATCACCATCGTCGAAGGTCTGAAGCAGGCTCAAAGCTTGGGGTCAGGGCCAAACAATTGCCTTCACAGCCAGCTTCGAAGGTGACCTCAAAGGAAGAAAAGAGCAGTTCAACATCTGGGTCAGTAAGTTCGTGGGTACCTAGAGTTCCAGATTGGTTTGTGATGCAGAACAAACCTAGGGAAGTGCCTACCCAAAGGAATGTTGGAAATCAAGGTAGAATGGTTAAGCCTCCTTTGGTGGCCCCCAACAATTGGGTATTACTGAAACACCCAAGAACGAAGGAACCAGATATGGTCCCCGTTATTTCCAGATCACAAAGGAGGAAAATTCAGCGTAGGTACACCCAATACCGGCAAAACCTGAAAGAAAGTGGAGAGAGTTCTTCATTGATCCAGACTGAAGAAAAGAAGAATCGAAAGTCAGACCATACTCCAAAGCCAATTCTACAAAGCAAGGTGGGTTGCAGCAGAGAACAGTTGGCTAAGGTTCATTCTGAACTAAAAGTCAGAGAGAAGGATAGCCTAGCAGGATTGGAGAAAGCTCTGATGGAGAGTGGTAGCGAGACAGAAGAAGAAATTGGCATGAGCCAAAAGAAAGAAATGGTGGAAGAAGAAATGTTCGAAGCTTTCATGGCCAAGCAAACATTTTTGGTTAAAAACCAGTTGAGGAAAACCATTCGAAGGAACCTGTTAGCAATGAAGTACCAGAATGCAGCATGCAGGATGCTTCTGAGGTAATTGACCAAGGTAGCTAAGAGGGGAAACAGGTTCAGCCAGCCATCCAGTTTGGCTCGTTTCCCCCAGTGTCAGTAAACATGGTACACATACTACCGCAGGAATTCCAAGCTGTAGATGAGAATCAAGAGAGGCAAGAAGTTGATCCAATTCCAATCTCTAGTGAAGACTCATAAGCGAGTATGGTACAAGATAATTCTGAAATGGTTACCCCAATGGAAGCTGAGTATGAGAGTGAAGAAGTGGTAAGTATTAACCTCTCGTATCCTTTTGAATATCCCTCGAATTCTATGACGCAGCATGTTAAGCCTTTGTACATTAAGGCCTTTTTCGATGAGATACAGTTAAACCGAGTCTTAGTGGATAATGGGGCAGCGGTGAACTTACTACCAAAATCCTCCTTGAAGAAATTAGGGAAAAAGAATCCCAGGTTGATCCCAACCAGTACAACCATTGCTGGTTTTGCTGGAGACAAACAGATGGCCCAAGGAATTCTACCCATCAACCTGAGTGTGGGAACCAGGGACTGCATGACAGCGTTTTTCGTCATCGACAGCAATGCGAAGTACAATGCTTTACTTGGTAGAGATTGGATCTACACTAACAAATGTATGCCTTCCTCTTTGCATCAGAAAATGATAATGGCTCTAGGCAATGGAGAGACGGAGGAAATTAATGTAGATCCTCAACCTTTCATAGCCTGTGCAGATTTCGCAGAAGCCAAGTTGTATATTGAAGGCGTGGCACCACTCAGTATACTGATGAAATCCGATGGCTCAGCCGAAGTAACGGCTGATGAGGAAGTAGCACACCTGAAGCACTTAGTGCAGGAGAGT